TACGGAAAATAACTTACGCAGCGGGAGAAAAATAAAAATGAGACACCACAGAATTTACATGGTTCACCCCCAACTGTTTTTCCACGGGACCAACTCCGAATATTTTCTTTCCACTTATAAAATAATAGGCTTACAACAAGAGAAGTAATGACAAAAAAAAAGTGGCACTTCAAAAGTCGTTTCCCAAAACACCCCAATATTCTTCACTTATTTTTCTAAACCCTAATTTTAAGAACTCTTTTCTTAAAACTAACAACTCTCTAAATTATGTTGATTTTCAATTAGTTTGTTGGTACTGTGTCATAAATGAGTGCAATGCAGAGCACAAAGGCGCCTTGGTATCCGCAACGCAAGTCGAGCCTTCTGCCCTGCCAACGCGCATAGTACGCGGGGACTACGGCAAGCCAAGGCATCGGCGCAATGGCAAACGAAGCAAGCCGCACGCGTGTGTATGTGGCAAGTCACACGCAATATTCGCAAATCCCTGAGCTAGTCCGCCGCAAATCTTAGCGCACGAAAGTATGGGTTGCAAGGCAATACATGCCGGCAATCATGGCAAGTCGCGGTTGCTGAAATCGACCGGCAAATCCGCACACGGGGCAAAATCCTCTCCTTATATAGGGAGGCCAATGTACGAGAACCGCTGTGTGGAGTTGGTTGCCAACTTTCTTCTTTTCAAATAACATGTTTTTTTCCCTTTTATTTTTTTTTCTTTTCAAATTGTGTGGGTTCCACTTGAGTGGCACAGGCCACCACCTGACAGTTACTTTGCCAGGAAATTTAGAAGTTAACAAAGATGAGAAGATGATAACCTTGCATCCAAAAAAGTCTGGACTGAAAAAACAAGAAGCTCCATGGCGATCGTTGGACCCGCTATTGTTTAGCAGCGTAGCTTCCTTCACTATGAATATCATTACCAAGCTTTTGCAGGCCATTTTGGGGAGTATTTCTAGTCGCTTCTTATCTCCATAGCCAACACTGTATTGTCGGCCTTCAATTTTTGGCCTCTGGTAATTATTTATACATAATTAGATTTTTTTTCTAACTTTCGTTTTGTTCTGTATATTTGATAATTCAGGAATATTTCCTATGTAACTCTCTATTAGTTAGGAATGGCGAGTGCTCTTTGGACAACCTACGTGGACAAGCTTATGGCGCGAACAAGATATTCAGATGTTAGGCACTTACCTTGCAAAGGTCTTGGATTAATATTTATAATGTGCTGTTTCTTCTTGTTGCCGTCTATGTGTTTTTGCGACTTCCAATCTTTTAAATAGTTTGGTCAACCAGACCGCGCGTAGCAAAGGGAAATCTCAGGTTGTGGCTTTAATGGTTTACCGTTTGCATTTCAAGCTTCGCATTTTTATTCCCATTGCAAATATTCTTGCAGAACCAGATAAAAGAATCAACATGATATCTGGGGTTTCTTCGGTAGCTTAAGGATAATATGCGGTTATGCTGTTTCGGTGTTTTATTCATTGTTTTTGGATTTTGGAGTTGATTGGTCCGGCTATTGCTTTGGATTGTTTCTGGTGGTTTATGGGAATTGCGTTTGTTCATATATGTGAGCTTAGATGTCCCTTTCAATTTGGACTGGTTTCTCAATGCAAGTCTTTATTGTTATGGGAGTTCGTCAACTCTCGTTGCAGCTTCTGGAGTTTATGCTTTGGCACCATTTCTCTCTCTCTCTCTCTTCTCTCTCTCTCTCTCTCTCTCTCTCTCTTGTTTTAAATATAAATTTCTTGAATTAAATTATTAATCATCTTCAATTTGATGACTTAAATGGTAATTATATTGCGTTTTGCATGTTTGGAAAAATTGTATTTATTAGAACACTAATATTGATGACTGGGCACTTGAAAGATGTACATTTAGTGTGGATGCATGTCAATTTTGGTATACATTTTTCATAGCTATTTTTTATATATTACACATTTAATAACCATTTAATTTTTTTTGCTTGGTTTATTTTGCAGCAGGGACTAATTAATGGGTGGAAAATGATGATTCCAGTCGCATTTCTTACAGCCACAGGGTACCTTCTATTTGAACTTTTTCTTAACTTGAGTGTGATAATATCTACATCTTAAGCATATGTAATCTCAAAAAATGAGCAAATTAGGGAATTAATTTTATTTTTAGGCTTTTGAACTTTTTTTACGATTGTACAGTTAAAGAGTTTTTGGACCTGTTTGCAGGGTAAGAGTGGTAATGAGGGAGCTGGGAATGGGGAAAAGCAGCACAGGTTTCTGTGGTGCAATCAACTATAATTGGGACTAATCTTTTGCTTTTAATTATCGTAATATTCCATGATAAATTTGCAATAATATTCACATCCAGAACAAATCTTTTAGAAGAGGTGGGTAAGCTTCCCCATATTCTTGGCAGTCACGATCCTCCTCAACAGTCTTCAACCAGTATTATCAGGTTAATTCCATCATCAATATTCTAATCAGCTTTACTATAACTAAATTAGAGTTCAAAAGTCTCAATTTTTTTATGTTTAATTGTGAGTTTAGGGAGTGCAGTTTGGATCAGAGATGGATAAGGAATGGTTGCCTATATAAATCTTGGTTTGCCCACTTGGAAATTCTTATGAGATGGGTCTTCAAATTGAGTGTTTAGGTAATTAGTTAACTCAATTTTACTAGGCGTTATAATCCTTGTCATTAAGCAACAATTACTTTGACTGACAATAGCAATTATGGTTATTTTCTTGAGTTCTAATCGGTTAATGGATTTCATAATTAGGGAAAATTGGAGGTTTCGGTTTGGAACGCTGTTCAGACAATAATTTTTAGGCGTTATAACAGCAAATCGGGACTGGGAAAATGACGGTAAGAAAAAGACACTATTGTGATTTATTCAAAGAATTAAATCACGTTAATTAAGTTTTTCTAACTTTTGTTTCACTAAATAATTAAAAAACATAATACTCTTATTGAATTTTGAATTACTTGTTTCTTTGATTTGAATTTATAGGCCGGAAAAAAAGCTCGTACACGACTAGCGGAAATGGTTCAAACTCCCAACACAGAATGGAATTCAGAACCCTACATTAACAAATCTTATCATGAATATAATTTTTCTTACTGTTTCCAAAACTTTATGAGAATTTGTGAAATGCTCTAAATTTCAATCACTATTCTTATCTTTCGGTAACTAGTTTGAAACTTAAGATTAAGCTGTTGTCGTCTTTGATTTTCAAGAAGAATTTATCGATTTTATACAAAAAGGAAATTAACTTATCCAATCATCAAATGTAATCTTATATTAGAAGGAATTTTGCTGTTATTATTTGACAATTAATAATATTGTTCTTTAATTAAGGTCAACTTTCCTTATTGAAAATTTGACATTAATTATAATTATTTATAATTTGAAAATTTAATTTGATATAATTAATCGTTATACCTTACTTTTATTTGGTGTTATTTTCAGAGCGAAAAAATATTATGGATCAAGATATTTTAATAGTAGAGCAAAATTATTTTGTTAACATTAAACTATTTATGTTTTACACAAAAAGGAGCAAAAAAATATTAGAACTTAAAGTTGTGTTCCGCAAATAGCTTTTTGAGTAATTTTAAGTATTTTTAACTAGTTAAATCGTTTAAACGCTAACTTCTATAATGTTTGGGTAACATAGCATTTGACCCTTTTTTTAATGGTTTTAACATAGCGTTTTATAATAAAGTTAAACTCATACTTTTTATCGGTTTCATAAAAACTTACTCGAACAACTAACAATTAAATGCTATAAAACAATAATAGCTTTAGCAAAAACAGCTAATTTTATCGAGCAAAACCCTAAGAATTTCACTATCTAGAATAAAAGCTATTCCAGTCATATTTTATGATTTACTTAAGGAAGAATACCATAATAAAGAAAATGATAAAACACATAAGGATTATTTTTTTTTTAATAAAAGCTATACTCGGTTAAACTTAATCAGTAAAAGACATGAGAGATTTTTAATAAATAAAATTTGTTTAGAAATTGATTGGTCCACTCTTGCAATATGGGGAATAATGTAGAAATAAAAGTTTACTGATAGAAGGTTCATTTAATAATTCAGTATTGACAGAAGAAACTTTAAGCCCAACGCATAACATGACATTCTGGAAGGCTTGAATTGAAAGAAAAATAAAGGAAAAACTAATAACTACTCTTATGAATTAAGAAAAACAGTGATAGAAGGAAATATAATTACCAATTTCTTATTATGAAAAATTCAAACAAGCCATAATTTAATGGAGTTTAAGAATGAAGTAAATTAAGGATTTATTTTATTAAACAGGGGCGGCAAAGTATTAACCTGAAATAAAGAAGAAAAATGGAAATGAAAATAACTTATTTAATTTAAAAAGGTAAACTTTTTCAATTTTAACTTAAAATATTTTTGTTTTAGTATTTAAAAAGGTAGGAAAACATTAATTAGAAATTTTTTTAAAAAATAATTGATATTAAATTCAAGTATTTTCCAATTAAACATTTTTTTCCCTTCTTCAATGATCTATACCAATTAACGTATTTTTCACTCTATAATTATCCTATTTGCTTAAAAAATTTAATTTTACATCCATAACTTCTTCATATTATTAAGTTATATCAAAATTAGTTCTAACCAAAATAAAGTTGATTGAAATTGAGTGATTGAAACATCATCCTTAATTAAAAGTCTCGGAGTTTTGCTAACGTTTCTAGTTCAATTACTAGCTAATTAATATAATTGAAATATATACTATATATATATATATATATATATTTATATTTATCTTATGGGCTTAAAAGATTTCTGATATAATTACTTAATGCTTACATTAATCACACGCTAATGACATAAACAAATATTTATATTTATCTTATGGCTTAAAAGATTTCTGATATAATTACTTAATGCTTACATTAATCGACACGCTAATGACATAAACAAAATTCAGAAAAGTCTCACTCTTCAAATCAGATAATACTTTCTGTTACATATTGACATAAAAGCTTGATTTGGAAGAAAAATATAAAATTGAATGAACACAAATATACAATATTAAATGACATTGACAAATCCAAAATAATATAAAAGGTCAAAATTTGAAGGGATAAACATGCTAATGTGTACAGAAACAATTAATCGAACCGGGTCCAAACAAATCCGTGTCCAGCATCAACCTTGTCCACCACTTCACCAGACCGAGTCAACTCATTTGAATCGTTCTTGGTGCCCATTTCCAACAGCTTCATCTCTTCCTTTTCCTTCATCATTTCTATGGTTTTTGTCTTTGTCTTATTTACCAACTCCCATAAACTATCATTTCTATTTCTATTCACAAACAGCAAATACAATCTCTCTTTGTAACTCTCAAATCTATTTAAGTTGCCCAGAAGCTGAGTCAACTCACTGAAACTAAAACTCGGAATTCTACCACCGATTTCGACAACTCGGATAAAAATTTCACGTTGAATAGATCTGTAATCATCAGAAACTAACCTGACTATTTCATGAATCAAATTCTTCCTTTGAAGATGCAAAGAATCAGGAGCTTCACTAATTACTGCAACAAAATTAATTAAAAGATCCATTTCTCCTAATAAATCTCTGCTCAAAACTGCCAATACTTTCTCTTCTTTATCCTTATTAGTAGCGGAAAAAGAAAGAACATTTTGATTGTCAAGAAATCTCGAAACCGATAAATTTTGCTCTATAATAGCTGCATACCATCTTACCCAAGACGACAAGCCCCAGCTTTCAGGATCTGATCCATCGCGAAATCTTGAAAGATTAAGAAAGTTTCTGGCACCAAGAGAAGGGTAAACTGAAAGCTGATCTTTAAGAATAACAGAGCCTTTTGTTATTATAATATGCAACATAAAGAGACATTTTAGGGAAACAAAAGGATTCTCTGTGGTATGAAGGCGGTCCATGAGAGCTTCAATGCATGTGTATGCACTTAGGCGGGAGGAATGGCCGTAGGAAAGAATGACCGCGATGCATTCGTCGGATGGTGACGAAGAAGCGTCACGTGTGGTGGCGCGGATGACAGCGGTTTGTATTCTGTTGTGGCGTTTTGTTGATAGGGTTGCTTTGATTATGGAGGTTTTGTCTTTGAAAAAGCCTATGATAAGTCTCAGTTTCTTGCGGTTCCCCATCGACTTCACTGTAAGAGGAGAAAAAACACCTATGATCATGAAAACAGAAATGTAAAAGTTTAGCTGTTTTTGTCTTTATGATTAATCGGGGTTACTTATATAATCATTGACTGGTCATTTGTGCCCGTGTGTTGCGCGGCGCGAGGAATATACAAATTTATTATATTATTTTTAAAAATTCAAATAATAACATATGGTTTAATATTTATGTTCTTATAGTGAGATTCCAAAGTCTTGAAAAAGTATATTTTAATTACTTATATATACTAATTGAACTCAATAATTCATAGCGCTAATATTGTTTTTTTTTAAAGAAAAAAACTTTTTGCTTTTTTTTTCAATAATTAATAATCCAAATAATAAATTTAATTAATAAAAAAATTTTCAGTTTTTTTTATAAAACTCTTCATATTTTTAATAATTATAAGTTTTAGGTTTAGATTTATTAGTACTTTTTTCTAATTATGTTCATTTTACAAATTTGTAAAGAAGATGGATTTTGAAACTTTTAGTGATGAATTATTAATTTCATAAATTATTAAGTACTAATTATTAGAAAAAGAACTTAAATTTTTTTTTTTTTTTTGACCTTGAGCAATAACAGTCGGCCACTTTGTTTCCTTCCCTGTCGAGAAGCTGAAAATGAACTTCCCATGATCTGTTAACAACATACCAAACTTTGTATGTTTAAGTTTTAATTAGTTATTCATTTTAAGATTTAATTAATGGTAATATTAATATATTTATTGGTATAAATACAGATTGGACATGAAATAAAATAGAAAATAGTAAAAATTATCTTTTTTTCAAAAAGAAAAATAAACTTTTTTTTAATGGAATAAGGAAATATTATATAATTATGTTATGAATAATTAGTCAAGCGTTTGTAGAGAGACAATTTCTGAAAAATTACGCAAGCAAGAAAATTTTATTTTAATTTGAATAAGAAAGCGACCAATGTGAGAGAATTTTAATTAGTCTAATCCATATATGAACTTGATGTCCAAATTTTAAAAATTAAGAATTTTATTTTATTAATTAAGAGAGTTGCATTTCTTGTCTTTGCCTCTATTTTCATTTTCAATAAATATATTTTTTTTTATGTTCATGAGAATTTCTTTTATTTTTCCTGTCCTTCTACATATGTAAGGTGTCATTTTACAGACCTTCTTGCCTTCATTTCTGCTTTTGAGAGCAAGTGTTTGTTAAAACACCTAAGCAAGTTTTAAAAACTGCAGAACTTTATTTTTTAAGGAACTTAGCAAGTCCTAAAACTATAAAACTTTTATTTGATCACCTGTTTTACAACAGATGTTTAAACTTTAATTTTAAGGACCTAAGTAAAAGTTTATAATTAAACTGTAGAAATTTAAAAGAGTCCATCAAGTCTTTAAACTAGCTATAAAAAGGAACTGTGTTCAAAACTAATGGAACTTTCCTTGAAGGTGGCTGCATGTCAAAAAAATTGCAAAAGTATCTTTGTAGGAACTTAGCATATCCTTAAATTGCTAAAATTTTCTTTGAATGGACCTACGGTGTCCGAAATCTGCAAAAATACTTTTGTGGGATCTTAGCAAGTCCAAAAATTGCAGAGAAAAATGTCGTTAAGAGCTATGAACCCTTTTTTTTTTTGGTCTAGCTATTAAGGAGGATTCAATATGAAGGAGGAGAGTTTGAGTGTAAAGCTTGCAAGCAAATTTAGAAGATAAAAGTAACTTTCCCTTTTCTTTTATGAACCTTGTGCTTTGTTTTTGTTTTTGTTTCCTTTTTTTTTTTTTTTAAGGTCTGTTAGGCATCAGCTCTGATACCAGTTGTTGGGCATCAGTTTTGATACCACTTATTGGGCCCTTTCAACTAATTAAGAGAAAATTAACGCAGCGGAATAATAGAAATGGGACACACAAAAATTTACGTGGTTACCCTCAACTGTTTAGGGCTACGTCCACGGGACAAACTCTGAATTTTTTTTCATTAAGGAGATATTTATTAAACTTATTATAATTGATTAAGTTAATGATATATAAGAGTAATAACATATTATATGAAATTATATTATCGTGATAGAAAAATATTAATAAATTATTTGGCTATTTTGCTGTTATATGCTAGAGATAGGAGCTATTTTCTTTCTCGTAAAATAATTATCGGTGAAATTAACAGACACTATTTAACCTGAACTTAAATCTATATATATTTGTTTATAAATGTTATTGAAAACCTTATAGACAAAATACTAAATGTTCTGTTTTTCTCTTTTTCTGAAAATTGCCCATAGTGTTAGTAGAGATTTTAAGGTTAACTGTCTTAATATCACATTTATTTGAATTACGCATTTGAAATAAACTGATGCTACCAGAAAAAAATTTTAAACTCTTAGTTATTATGTTACTTTTCTTTGTATATTAAATTTAAGAAAAAAGTACTTGCCCATTATCTCATGTTAACTATATTGCCCCCTATTAGTTTGTTCCATATACTTTACTACCTAAATATAAAATATTTGTATTTCTTTTATATGTTCTAATGGCAAATTAAGTATAAAGTTATCTGTGTTCCCATACTTATTATATATTACCTATGTCTCTTAATTTCGTCTTTTATCTTCTTATAAAAGTTGTTAATCAGTAGTATTGTCTATTCTTTAACTCAAGTATCTCCTTTCACATCTATCCTCTTCACTAACATGTGGTCATTGTCCTTATTGAAGATTGCAAAGTTCTTTACTCAAACTTTGAAATTCCTACTTTGAATTCAATTATATATATATATATATATATATATATATATATATATATATATATATATATATATATATATTATATATATATATAATATAGCAGACAAATTTCGTTAGTGTTGTCAAATTGTAGGATTTCAAAATTAATTAACATGTGGTATGACTTAATTGGTTTGTTTTTATGTAGTTTGTGTTTAACACACTTGTCAAGTTTAATTTATGATAAATCACCTGTAGAATTTCTTTAATTTTTATTTTGATTAGTGTATTATGCATAAATAATAGATTCACCATAATAGATATAAACTCTGATAATATATATCATATATATCTGCTAATTTGGATCACGAATTAATTAGTGGTTGTTTTATAAATACAATGAATTTGTATTATAACTAATGTTTATAATTAGCTCTCTATTTAAAGAGGTACCACATATAAGTCAATAAATTTAATGAAACTTTATTTAATTTGAAATACCTGTGTAGGCATATTTAAAGAGTCCATTATAGATCTATTTATTTAACCTATATTGACCTAAAATATATTTAAAAAAATATAATATGGGTATACGTGAAATTTTAACAATATTATATTAACATAATATAGGATTGAATGCTTATATTCCACTTGAAGGAGGTCTTTTGTACATATTGAACTATTCGAAAATAAATTGCAAAGATAAGAAGTGAATTCTTTATAGTAGGAAATGAGTGAGTATAAACTTTATTTTTTTATTTACGGCTTAATATTGAAAATCCTAATATTAATATATTAATTTGGACACTTTTTAATCACTATTCAATTTTCTTTTAGTGTGTACTTTTTTTATCAGTGCATCTCTATATGTCCGAAAATTCTTTCGAGATATCAATTATATAATTTTCTCGAAGTATGTACTCTCTTGGAACACAATGCTCTCGTATATAATGTTGTTCAGAGACACTAATATATAAACTGATTATAAGAAATAATTAACGCTATAAGTTTTTTTTTTAATTGATTTGAGCCCTTCTATTTGTAAATACTTTTTTCCAACAGCCTATATATTATTAAATTTTTTGTATATATGCGTCTTTAAAAATCTATAATTATAGCTATTATAAAAGATAGAGGAGATATTCTAATTAAATTGAATAGAGAGGAAGAGTTTGAGTTGTATTAAATAAGTGACTTTAGGCATGACAAAATAATTTAATAGAGAAGATTAAATGTAATAACTTATTTTCAATTTTTCCTTTATTACTTGAACCTTGTTATGTCTTTTGGTAGTATTGGTCTTAGTTTTTTGAGTATTCACTATTATATATTTTTTATTAATATTTTTATACTAGGATTCAACGCAATCTCTAGCTCTGATACCAGTTGTTGGCAGTCCATCTCATGCTTTATAGCCAGCATATAATAGGATACACTTATTAAAAGAGAACAAAACAAATTTCATCAAAACAAATATTTATGTTAGAAAAAATCCAAATTAAGCCTGAATTAGCCCACAATTCACAACTTGTTTTTTTTCATAAGTAAAATTGCTCAGGAATTTATAATAAGAATCAAATGTAATAGATTAAGGAGATAAAACATACCTCGTGGCACTATGATATACATCTGTTGGCCTCACCTGAATGATTAGTAAAAGAAGAAAGAATAAATCATTTAAAATACTTCCAACCTCCATCTTTTTGTTTTTTATGTTTGTGACTATAAATTGCGTTTGCCCTCACACATTGAAACTGGTAGAATCATTTGAAATCTCCAATTTTAATTTTACTACCTCCTAGACATATCTAAGCTCTCTTCACTAAATTATTCAAAATAGGAATAAGTAGGTACACACAAAGTAGAGTGTATAAAGTATCACACATTAGATTAGGGCACATAGTGTTTCCCCATAAAAAACATCTTAACCAATATTTAAATAATAACAATATCCACCTTCATCTATTTATTTCTACCCACTCTCCCCTATGTTTTTAGAATCCATCCTAAATACTAGACTCTCCCTCGCTACCTTTATACACAACTTCTTTAAAATTCTTCTATATTAAACTCTCTTTCTTTAATAGAGAGGAGGTGGAAATAAGACAGAGTAATCTAGTCACGAAGGCATGGGCACAAGCCATCCCTCCTCCCTAATTTAATCAGGAGAAGGTATGTGAGAAACCAAAATGTGTGAGTTAACACCACAAGCTCTCCATTCTAGATAATGTTTGGTTTGCAACCCTTTGATTTTTGACAATTTTCAAAATAAACACCGTTTTCCTTTTTTTTTTTTCCCTTTCAATTTTTTATTGTGGGTCCCACTTGAGTGGGCACCGCACACAAAATCTCCACTGTCACACTCAAGTGGGGAACGTTACCATCATCAATCCCCTCGGTTCGGTGTTCAAACCGGATATATAGCATACATTAGCAGTCTGCACCTGCTAAGCCATTGAACCTATGATCTAGAGTTATCATGGACACCCCCCGGTGTGCCTGCCCATAATACAAATTTTAAACTTTGCGGGACACGCCGATGCCTTTTGTCGAGAAAATCGAGAAGACTTTCGACACAAGGCACCACTTGCAGATCTTTTTTCGGTCTTGGTTCTGTTGTTACACAGCAACTCTTTGCACGTTTCAGTAATCTTGACTGCCACGACACGGCTCCCCCTGCAAATGTGATTGGATATCCTGAAAATATATTTCACTGCAGTCCAGTGTTCCTTTCTTGGATTTGAAAGAAACCGACCCACTACTTCAACTGAGTGAGCAATATCTGGCCGTGTACAAATCATGGTATACATCAAGCTTCCACTGACCATTTCTGAAGGTGCTACAGAAACCTTCATCATCAAATCTACCAACCGAGATTTGGACGCATGCTCGAAAGCCCATTTCTCATCCCATTTCTCATCAGTCTTGTCTTTTCATCAGTCTTGTCTTCTGGTTTAGTTCAACTAAACACAGGCAAATGCATTTTAATTACCATAAGGAGATCTCTCATTTCTCCATATATGGTAATACGCACCAGACTGATCATTTTGCTTGTCCATTTTGACTTGTGCAGAATATCATCATAAACATAAACCGTATACGTGAACAGTAGTATACGTGAATAGTACTAGTATACAAGAATAGTAATTATACATGTAAATAGTACTATATGTGAATAGCACTTATATGTGAATAGTACTATATGTGAATAGTGCTGGTTTAACAGTGACGGCTCAGCAACAGTAACGCCAATAGTAACTGTTCACCATCAACCACAAGTTACTATTTTACTATTCATCACTAAGTCGATTCTGCAATGTCTTTCGGAGCGAACAATACCAATGGACTCGTCGTAATTTTCTCGTCGTCGTGGTATATTTATTTTTGAAATATATCCACGGATCCGGTACCGCTATCTGACCGGCCGCTGGACTTGCCGAACCTTCGGCTCTGATACCACTTGTTAGGCATCAGCTCTGATACAAGTTATTGGGCATCAGCTCTGATACCACTTTTGGGCCCTTTCAACCAATTAAGAGAAATTAACGTAGCGGAAATAATAGAAATGGGACATACAGAATCAGCTCTGATACCACTTATTGGGCCCTTTCAACCAATTAAGAGAAAATTAACGTAGCGGAATAATAGAAATGGGACATACAGAAATTTACGTGTTTTACCCTCAACTGTTTAGGGCTATGTCCACGGGACAAACTCTAAATCATTCTTCCACTATTAAAAATAGTAGGTACACAAAGAGAGTAATACAAAAATAGTGGCACACAAAGTATTTCCCAAAAACATCCCATAATAATTTCCTCACTATTTTTCTCTCCCTTAGTTTTAGAAAACTTATCCTAAAACTAGAAAACTTTCTCGTTACATTTTCTCTTTATTTCTGGTGTGTACTTCAAATGAAGCAAATCCTCTCCTATTTAGGAGAGGTAATGCGAGAACCATGTGTGAGTTACACACGGCTCTCCATTTAGGTAATGGTTGGTTGCCAACCTTCAACTTTTTGACATTTTTAAATAACACGTTTTCCCACTTGAGTGGGCACGGTCAACTTGCAGACTTTTAGGTTTGAAAGCTAAAGCAAAAGCTTGAAATTGGCAGTATATGTGAAGGAGGAGTGAAAAGATATGCAATAACATGTGCTGTTGTAAGTCTTGTATACCAATTTGTGGAAGAGCTCAATTTTAGTAGAAAACAAATTCACAATTCACATAACCAATTTCTAACATATAAAAAACTATCTATGCACATATAGCTATGACAAGCAACAAATACATGGGAAAGAAAGAACAATAAACACAAGATAATAATAAGAATCGATTCAAATCCGAACATGGTCTAAGCAAGTTTTTCCAATAAGTTGAGAGGTTTGTTGAAGCTCAATATAGTCCCTAAATGTGATTCCACGATATGCAGCAGAAGCTTGAGTCAGCTCTGGTGCTGGGGTCACTATGCCGTCAAGCGGCGGGCCGTGGGCTGTTCCTACTGATATTCTTGTTCCTTTATTGTTTACCACTGCTCTATGAAGCACACTCTTGTACTTCCCGTTCGTTAGTATCTGCAATTATCAATTTATTATGATCTCCATATCAAGAAATAAAGAAGAACACTTACATTCCGAAGAGAAAAAGAAAGAAAGAAAGAATTACCTCCATATGATCTCCAGTGTTAATTAAAATAGAATCTGGTAAAGGATTAATAGGAACCCATTTTCCATTGTGCATGACTTGAAGGCCTGTAAGCTCGTTTTGTATGAGGAGAGTGAGGAGACCATAATCAGAATGAGGAGGCAATCCCATTGCAATTTCAGGCTGTGGGCATGGTGGGTAAAAATTTGCAACCAACATTTGGGTCCCCATTTCCACATTCATTTTCTTGCTTATGTAATTTTCTTCTAAACCTAAGCTTTTTGAAATGCCTTTAAGCAATTCATTTGCCAGTTCTCTAGTTCTTTTGCAATAGTCCTCCAAAATTTCACTGTATATACAACAACAATAATTTGATACATTAGCCCATTGAACTGGAATTCATGGCCACAAGGAAACTTTTCTTTATCCATCCATTTTTAAAGAAAAAGAAAATTGCAAGACCCCAAATGACCATTTGTGTGAAAGAAAAAGTTCTCTACAAACGCCAATGCAAAAAAAGAAAAGGGAAAGGAAAGGAAAGAAAAAGTCTTCCATAGTAGGAGAATCAGATATCAGGATATGGATTGTAAAAGTCATGAACATAAAATTAAAATCTTCTTTTATATATCAAATGAGAGAATAAGCAGAGAAAGAGAGGGGATTATGACTTTTACAAATCATTATTTCATTATCACTTTACCACTGTATATCGAATTTTCTAAATGTTCTTAATGTTTGTTCGTATGATTAAATAATGAAGGGAGACAAGAAAGCACTGCCTCAGAAAAAAAAAAAGAAAAAAAAAAGAAAAAGAAAAAGAAAAAGAAAAAGAAAGATAGACAAGAAAACACGTTATCGTACAACCCTGTAAAGCCCCATGAGAAGAACCCATGTTTTGACTGTTTTTTGGGCAAGTAACACCACTAACATATCACTAATTTTGCCTTTCAATGCGTGAGTATTGTTTGTAAAAGAAGCATAGCATTGATTGGTGGAAAAACACTCATGGGAACCTGAAACGAGATTACTCTCGCACCCAATCAAAAAAGAATCATAGTAAATGTAAAGATGTACCTGAAACCATCAGGCTTTCGAGGAGAGACAAAATGAGGATGAACAAGGACTTTAAGACAATCTCTCCACAATAATGCCTTATCTACTGTCACATTGAAGCTTGTGCTATACCTAATAGGATCAAACAATTCCTTTCCTGCATACTCTTGTTTTTCCTTTTCGGTTAGGTTAAAGAAACCATCGATATATCTTATCATCTCATCTCTTACTTTCTCTGGTATTCCATGATTGATCACCTATTATATCAAATCAAATACGTACGTAGGCTTAGTTTATAATTAGCATGTTATAATGCAAATTAGCGTAAAAAGAAAGCAAAATAGTATATATTTTCTCATTTCTTTTACGTACCATGAAAAATCCCCAATCACGACAAGCATGGCCGAGGTCTTGGATAATTTTGGACCGTTGATCAGGAGAACCGGAAGTGAGAAGGGAATAATCAATGATGGGGATTATTTCTTTATCAAAAGATATGCGATCATCAGGCTTACTTTGGTAAGCATAACTGGAAGGAACAGTTTTGAGACAACCAGAGTCCACTAGCTCCTTCACACTAAACATTTTTTAGCAATTGATGGGAAGATCTAATGTTGTGAGTTTCGAGTAGTGCTTAGTTGGGTCTTGATATCCTTATATATAGCCTAGACAGTGCACATGCATGTGGGGCCCGATTCAAAAGAGTGGCTCTAAGTTAATTTAATTTGAAAAAAGGGAAAAAAACTTCCTTAGATTAAAAACATATAATTCTTGCCTTTAAGGATTAATAGTGATTGACAGTGATGATTATCTAAATAATTAACATGTGATTTATGACACCATCTATATGGCCGACACACTAAACCAAGGTTGATCATGGATTGGATTATGCATTAAATATTATCCGTTTTTATTATGTTTAAAAGAAAAATAAAAAGAAAACAATAGTTTAATAAAAATTCATATTATTTATTGTGCTTGAAAATACAAAAATTCTTAACAATAACTGAAATATTGTATACTATGACAATTAAAGAGACTTTAAGAGTTATTAAGTGCAAAAAAAATCATGTTAGTGGTCCTAATGTTTCACTTATATTCTTTTGTTTAAAGTAGAGATTAAAAAAATGTGAAAATGGTGAAAGAGTTGAAGATAATGATTTACAAATATATATATAAATAGAAAAGAAAGAAGGATGAGAAAGAATAGAGGTAACTGCACATCTAGAATTCTAATCAATAATTTTAGAAATATGAGAAAAAAATAAAATTAACTTCCGCGGATTATATTCGGATCGAATTATGCTATGTCCGTATCCGATGCATATCCGCGCGGATTTTTTATTTTAAAACTCCATATCCTTCACCACTATTCGGATCAGATTTTATTCCCTCCATTCAAATTGGATCAGAGCGAATATCCAACGGATAGAGTCATTTGATCATCCCTACAATAAACTAATCTTTTTTTTTTTTTATAAGTGGCTTCAAATAAATTTATGAAAATTGATTTTTTCTAATTCTTTTAATTCTAATAAATTTTTTTATTACATAAAAAATCTTTTTTATTAGTAAAATTCTTATTTTATTAATTAATAATTTCAGGAAAAAATTTAACACATCTTAGCAATTAAAACTAGACGAATAGACTTCCTCAATATACAAAACTATTCTAATAAGGATATATAGAAGAAATAAAAGTGTTACGGACAATTCATTAAGAAAAAAAAAAAGGGCAAAAATGATAAAAAAATTTGAAATAATAGTCAACTACGGATTTGGTATATAAAGGTGATCTCATATATTAGGCCTAATTAGGTATTTTCCTCCATTATGTAATACATGGATGAATCTATATATTATCTAACTAGAGATGACAATTTTATTTCTCTAGCTTTTTTTTTTTTTAAATTATATTTATCCATTTAGATTTATTTTCTTTGATTAACTTTTTGAAAGCAAATTTCCTGTCTTGCTTTTTTTTATTTGGGACCAGTTATGGCTGGCACCTGCTTTGATTTAGATGAGACGGCATGAATTATAGTTTTCACTCTACTCGTCAATTTCTCAAGCGCCTGTCAGCAACGGCACATCAATGCTGGTGGTTAAACCAATCGATCCTATCTATCTTTCATACACAGTAAAAATATTTTGTTCAAGTCAACAAAATACCAGCAAAAGATGACGCTTCATGCTTTGAAAGCTTCTTCAATAAGCCCGTTTTCATTATGGAGAATGGAGAATTTAAGCACAAGTTTTTCATTTAAAATGTCGTTAACAAACTAAAAGTCAATCGTTTTCTTTTGAAAATACTCATTTTCTGGTCCCCAAACCATGGCATAATATTTCTACGGGGATCGAAAGAGCCAGACTAAAATCCTACACACACACCCCAAAACTACATTATTTTACAATTACCTTTATTTTGCGCCAAATGAACTAAAAAAACGAATTTCCGACAAAAAAGTGAAACAATATTGTCTAGCAAAGGCATGCATCCCGCAAATTGTTTGACTTTTTTTTTTTTTTACTACTAGGTTTCTTTCAGTTCTTGGAAATTGGAACGTGACGCTTAAATTAAAGTCAACCTTTCGCCAGTTATCTGGTATCTTGTGCATCCAAAATTCAGTAATCGAGCAATCAACGAAACCTATTAACCACTAAATAATTTAAGTCAATTATTTAATTAATGCAAAAGTTCACTATTGTCGAAATGAATCATGACACGCGAATACGATTCGTCTAACAAGTAAAATAAATGAAATATAGTTAAACTTCAATGAATTTTTGTCATAAACAGGTCATTCATTTATGACACGAATATAAATATATTGTATCCCAGGTTGACACGCGGTTTGGCAAGTGACCTATTTATTTAAAGGTAAAATGGTAATTTTAATATTTGATATAAATACTCCAAGTAAAATCCTATTTAATCTTTATTATTTTTTATTTTTTATTTTAGTTACAAATCTTGAAAAATATATACATATTTTGTATGGAAATTTTATTTTCAAATATAATTTTAATTAAATATGTTAAAACTTAAAAATATCATAAGTAATCTAAGTGGATTGTATACAGATCAACACGATCCACTTAACCTCTGTTTATGATATTAGACAGGTTACACGGGTAGTATATAGATTAACACAATCCATTTTAATTTGTTTATAATATTAGGCGAGTTATACATGTTGTGTTAATATCACCTACCTATAATTTTCATATTGTGTTTGTATTGATAAATTTAATACGATTATTAAATGAATCATATTTGTGTTTGTATTGGAGCTAATATTAAGCCAATTTATGTCAAATGGGGCACGTAAATCGATTTTTAGACTCCTACTGAGGTTGTTGCATGCTAATTTTCAAAAAAGATATTGTAAAGTGACACGGCGATGTACCGGGTGTTGCTTCCAATTTGACATGTTTTTGTTATGGTTGTATTACTTAATTTGTGAAGGAAATTGTAAATCCAATTAAATTTTTATAAATAAAAAAAAAAATCACTTATCTACTCTGATATATGGAACCATCCACATGTCAAATAAGTAATTCATTGTCTAATGTTGGTTGTAGATTGGATGAAGCATATAATTCTATCCATACGAGAATGTTTTTTTTTTTTGGTAATTAACTATATGAAAAGTTTAATAAGCTTAGAATATTTACAAAATACCTAGATCTGAATAACATTATGGACTTACATTTTCTCTTTAAATAATATTCAATAAATTAGTGATAATTTTATGCTGGAAAGGATTTAAACTCGAGACTTGTCACTTTTTACATCTTTTGTGAAATATGATAAGACCAACTAAACTACATGAATAATTTTCCGTTTAAACCTTATTTAATTTATGTAATAGATCTTCGCATTAAATGAAATGAGCATGAGATTATAAACTTACAAACGTGGCCATTGTATATCCATTATTAAATTAATCTTTTGAAAGGAGGATAATGTCCTCATCACGTGAAGCAAAAGACTCAAGAATTTCACCATATTTTCCATGTTTTTCAAACTGAATGTATGCTCTTCTTTCTGAATTGCTAAATATAATAAATGTAGTAGGTCCTCTATGTTTAAAATTCATTACTACGAATCAATGGTGTTTGGTGCATTTGTCATTGTCACATTTGTTAAAATGTTAAATCAAATCTCTACGATGAAGATTTAGTAGAACCAGTCATTTATTATCTTATCTCTTAAGTCTCTGCAAATGAACCCCTAACGTAGTAGTACGGGACTATCCCTCCCCCAACTTTCAATGACACAAATATTTCCTTTTCATTATGAGTGCTCCAATGGGTTTGGACCAACCACCATCTTGTGAGTTTGAGTTTAAATCTGTTAAAAATCATATTGTGTGCGTGTGTGTATATATATATATATATATATAGTATCTGTGGAAAAAAATAAAAAAATAAAAAAAAAATAAAAATAAACATCCAAGTCTCTTTGGCCATGAAAAAATATCTAACGGTAGCTAGAATCTTTTACAACCAGATGATCATGTTAAAGTCGGTCGTGTTAGCAACTTACAAATTATATATTATAAAATGGTCAAACGTATGAATTTTATGTAAAAAACATTCGTAGCATTCTAAATTTTATAGAAGATTGTTGTGATTTCAAAATTATGAATTTTAGTAGCATTATATATCTATCAATGTTAGTAAATAATTTTTTTTTTTTGATTTTTTTAGTTTGATATGCAAAATATTCATTTAATGTATAGCTATTGTAACTTTTAAAATAATAATTTTTACATGTTTAATTATCTAATGAATGTCTAATTGATTTAATTTTAGAAATTCAAATGTTTAATAAGAAAAATTTTATAAAATTGAAGTATTTAGTAGTTGCAATTTTTAAGTTGACTTATCCAATACGTCGAACCCACAATTGAGGGAGTCATAAAATTTTGTATGTAAAATGTTGGAGTTAATTTATGTATTTAGCCTTTATAAAATTTTTAAGGAGACAATTTTTTTTTTTTTTTTTTTGACCTTGTATACTCTATCCCTACAAGAAAATACTAGTAAATTAAGGTTGTGTTTGTTTCCGTAAAATAATTTGCAAGAAAATAAGTTGTTGAAAAATATTTTCCAAATGACTTATTTTCCGTTGTTTGGTTGTAATATTGCAAATTAGTTAAAAATATTATAGTTTTATCTCATAAGACAATAAAAAATATTAATAATAATAGAAATTTTCTAATTTAAAAATTTTATTGTTAAATATGAAAAGAATGTTAAAAAAAATATAAATTGTGAAAACCGGCGGTGGCCGACAATGGTAGTCGATAATAAATAGTGACTGGTGCTAGTGACTATGATGATTAATATATTAAAAAATATGGATTTATAAAGTTTGCTAATATGAACAATATTTTACTCTCTCAAAAATGAAAAATTGTTTTCCTTAAAAAATGACTTAATTTTCTTTTGACCAGAAAAATATTTTCTGTTGACTTATTTTCCTAAGCGCCCCAAACATATTAAAAATATGATTTTATAAAGTTTGCTAAATATGAACAATATTTTAACTCTCTCAAAAATGAAAAATTGGTTTTCCCTTAAAAAATGACTTAAATTTTCTTTTGAAGAAAAATATAAAATGAAAAATTGTTTTCCTTAAAAAATGACTTAATTTTCTTTTGACCAGAAAAATATTTTCTGTTGACTTATTTTCCTAAGCGCCCCAAACAAAGGAAAATTGTGAAAAATATTTTCCTATAAGTTATTTTACGGAAACAAACGGAACCTAAATCAAATACTAGTATTTTTTTTTTTTTCTTCTATCTGAAAAACATAGTTAAGTATTTGGGCTGTATAAATGAACGCTAACTCAATTTTTTAAATGTACATCAGAATGTAAAAGATAATCACTTAAATCACTTCGTGCTTCTCTATTCATAAAATAATAATAATAATAATAATAATAATAATAATAATATATGATAATGTATAATTATTATCAAAATAATAATTAATTGAACAATAAAATATATGTTTTATAACATAAATAAAAGATCAAGAATTAAGATTTTAATGGGGTTTTCTTTAAAAATTCCAATAAATCAGAAAATCAATTAAACTGAAATTTTTAGATGTGTGAGAAAAGTTCAATTCCTTAATATACTCAACTAAATATCAAGTTTGCATTTCATTTAATAAATGCTTACATCAATATAATACTATCTCCGTTCTATTATATTAAACAACTAATCAAACAGTTATTTGTATTGAACACTTTTATTGTAAATAGCTATTAAAATAATTAACAGCTATTAGAAGAGTTAAATTTGCCAAATAAACTCTCAATGAATGCTAATATGTTCACTAGTTACTTATTCAAACAAATTGGAACTTTAGAAAAGACCATTTTTACCAAAAAGCGAATTGTTGCCAACATTTCTTAGTAAAGAATGATCTTGTAGGAACTCATATTCTTAACTAACCTCCCTCAAATTTGTATATTTGATTATTGCATGATGTCAGTGGTGTGACATTTTCTTGTCTTTTCTTCCCTGAGAAAAAATTAAAAATAATAATAATAATAAAAAAAAAGAGGTAAAGAACTTAGACACCTAGAAAAACTTAAGAGCCCAATAGTTTCCTAATTTATTCTAAGAATAGATTTGACCTTAGGAAGTAGGGTAAGGGGACTGAAAGTCTTGTTTAGTGCCTTAAATTCTAACCATGCCCTTTGTGCTTATCTAAATATTAGATTTTAAAAATTATTAAAAAAATACATGTGGAGCACTAACACAATGCAGGCCGTCCGAAAATTTCACTTCCAACATTATTTTTTTTTATAGTGAAATAAATAAAATAAAATCTCAAAATCACATGTAATAAACAATAATTTAAGAAAAAAATTAATTTATGTACACAAATCCTTAATCGGTCAAACTCCACCAAACACCAAAGCCTCTAAACTTGACTATCTGACACTGCAGTCGTTAGCCGATCCGACGACCGTTCACCAACATCATTACTACTGCTGCTATTGTCCCCGCCCATAAACAAACGATCAAACGGCGATTTAACAGACTTCAACAAATTCTTTGGTGGAGCAGCATTCACCTCATCATTACCACCCACTCGGTTTGAGGACCGGACCGAACCGGTTCTGGCAATAAAAGGAGGAGTCATTGTAAAACCCCATCGCTCCGGCCGCCCTTCCCTGTCGAACCGTTCGTAATTTAAATAATTTCTACTGCTTCCACTCCTCCTGTATCCTGTTCTTGAACTCATCGCTCTAGTAAATGTCACGCAACTCTTTGTACGATTCAAGTGTGTGTTCATTAACTGGCTTCGAACCTCCTCCGGCAACCTTAAAGTAAACCGGTCAAGATTTTCTCCCGGTTGAACCAGTGAGTGACCTGTCGAGTGTGACCTAGGGAATAGCTTACCGAAACGCCATCCCGTTGACCTGGACCGAGGCGGCCGGTTCTGATTGGCTGTGTTTAATAAAATTACATTTGGAGATTGCGGTTGCTGTAACTCTGTATTCCGATTATTGTCATCGGAAACATGAATGAGAACTTCGTTTTGTGTCCCGTCATTGGACTGTTGGTCTGGTTGAGGTTCAACTGAGTTACTATTTGGTTCAAAGATATACGTCGAATCGAAGGACAAGTCACCCGGTTTTGGGACCAAATTAGCGCGACAAACGGGGCAAGTGGTGTGGGAACCGAGCCAGGCGTCTATGCAATCGGGATGAAATACGTGACTGCACTTGGGGATTAAACGCAGCGTTTGGTCATCTTCAAACTCGTTTAAACAAACAGCGCATTCCAGCGAGTCCTTGCCGATTTTGTGGCCTTTGACAGTCGAGTAAAGAAAAGTAGGGAATGTCCCGATGACTTCTGCGTCAAGCCCCTGCTGTCCCCTCCTAGACCACCGGCCTGCACCGCCGATTGGAGAAGCGGAGGGGTTGAAGGTTGTTCCTCTATATCTGCTCTCCGCGCACCGGCGAACGTAGATGGAACAAAAGCCCATGAGAAAGAAGGCACTCACAATAATCACCATGAGTATTGCCAGTGACGGGTTGAATTTCGGCTGCTGAGCGAATGGGTCATTCACGTTCGGAGGCGGCGGTGATCCCTGTTGGGCTGCACTGAATGAAAGCATAAAGAGAAGTAGCAAGCCATGATGGAGAAAAAGTTGCAACGAACAGCTCAGATTGAAGTTTAGAGTCGTCATGAGTAAGTAAAAAAATTGCTTGTCATGAGTAAATGAAAGTTTTTTTTTTCTTTTCAGGTTTGAATGGTTTTAATGATTCATTGATCCCAATGGTTGCTCAAAAGCAAAGCAAAGGGGATAAAGGAGGAGACGATGTTGGCGCTAACATAGGAAGAAAGATAGAGAAAAGAAGAGGGATGAAGGGAGAGATAGGGAAGATGACGAGGAGGCGTGGGATTTGGGGTGCAGAGAAGGATGTTTGACTTTGTGTTCTGGGGCCCAACATGATAACAATATTCTACGGACTGTTGTTTCGGTAGGTCATGTTCGCACCTAGAGACACTGTGGATTTGCCACCTAGGATTAGGAAGGGGTTGCACACTGGTGGTGAAAAAAAATACTACTGGTAACGAACTCTAGGGTTAACTTTTTTTTTTTTTTTTGTTTTTTTCTTTTGAAAGTAACTCTAGGATTAACTTAATAAAAAAAGTTACTGTTTCCTAATTACAACGGAAACTATTATGTATGTGCCGCTAACTTCTGTATTTTACTTATGTTCGATTTATCCTATGACAATTAAGACTTTAGAGCATCTAGAAGCCTATCATATGACAACTTAACCTGTCGCTCACTATTCTTATACTTATCCAAAACCTGTCGCTCACTATTCTTATACTTATCCAAATTACTATTACTTATCATATTTCAGAAAAAGAAATATAATCCTTTGTAGATTATGAAAAAAAAAAACTAATTAATGGTATGCTAGGAAAAAATATTGTACAAAAATTACAATCTAGTCAATATATTTTTTTAAATCACTGTAAATTTTAAATTAGACCTATTTTTTAGAGATGGATATATATATATATATATATATATATGCACTTTTCGGATATCAAACTTGTGTTCTCACATTTACAAGAATTGAGATCGTTTACCACTACAATCAATATTTTATTGATTATTAAGAGGAATTAACATTCCTGCATTAGAGCTGCTCCATCTAGTTAATTTTAATATTTTTTTTCACAAAAATTAAGAAATAAACTCAAAAATAATAATTAATTAAAGTATTCTCTTATTCATTTTTGTTATTTAAAGAGATAAAATTTAATGGAAATATCTAGATAAGGGTAAAATTAAAATAAAATGAATTAATACTATATTAATTTTATAAAAATATCATATGAGTATTCTCTCAAAAAAAGTGTTATATAAATAGAAAAAAAAAGTGAAAATGTTAAAATTAAGGATTCGAAGTGGTAGTAACTTTTAGCACAAATCTACTGTAGAAAATCTTTCACATTTCATCTGAAATTTTACATAGCATATTTTTCTTGAAATAAAAAAAAATAATTAAATATTGTAAATAAATAAATCTCTTACAAAAACTCGATTAGTATTTAGTAGCGGCTAAAGGGTATCTTGAGATATTCTCTTTTGGTGTTATTCAACTGGTTTAATTGAATATTCTGAATGAAAGAGCTGGATCCTGGATGACGTAAACGATACTGGAAATAAAATAAAACTAATAGCATTAAATTTGTATTTAAGACACTTTGATTTAACCCTTGATCCCTAACTACAAGCCCAAGTTATTCCAACTTGTAATGCTTACCTTTCACACACACATATATATATATATATATATAAAAACAGAATCAAGTGTTTATATATCACAATATAAAAATATAATAAAAGAAATAATTAAAGTATTGAGTTGATATGAAGAATAATTTTTATATTTGTTTTAATTTTATTTTAATTTAGACATTAATTAAATTAATATTAATATTACTATTAATAATAATGATTTTTTTCAGTTTTTTAATTTAATAATATTAAATGCTCTTAAGTTTTTATTTTCAATAATGAGTATTTCATAATATCATTAATATTATTTCAAATAATAATATTATTTAAAAATTTTAATTATTAATAAAATTAATATTATATCTTTAATGAAAATTTCAAGATTGGTTTTCATATAGTCATATATTATTACAACTTTGAAAAGTGAATACCAAAGTAATCGAGTGGGCAAGGAAAATTTATATCTCAAGACTTTGGAATGTAATAGTAAAAATATAAATATTAAATCCTTTACAATGTTATTTGAATTTTTAAAATTAATATAATAAAATTACATTAATTCTCATAACATCAAATAACATGCTTATTTGTACATTAATATATACCCTAATGATAAGTGTATATTTGATCTGACAATAGATTCAGATTTGAATTGTCTTCTCAATATTAAAAAAAATATTAATTTATTTTTTCAATTAATACAGGAGGTTTTTATGCAATCCTTTACACTAAATAAATGTCGTGAAATCAATATTTTTTTCTATACACGATATTTATTTACTTTTTTGAAAGTGATATATAGGGGGGGGGGGGGGAAATTAGATATGAAAATGGATAATTGTTGTCATATGAAGTAGGTAAATTTACTTACCTTTTTTTATAGTATAAATAATCGAGATTCTCATAAGAAAAACACCAAGTATAGCTTAAAAACCAAAATTAGTACCCAAACTATAGAAACTTTCAAATAATGACGTGAGAGTAGAATTATTTTGGTCATTTAGCCCAACTTGACGGCCAAGGGTTGATAATTACAACATATGCAATTCAATTTTTATATTTCATAAACATAACCCTTTCGCTTAAAAAATTAGAGATAATCAGATAGCTTGATTATCCAACTTAATTAATTATAAATTTATAATTAGGCAGCTGCAAAGACCTAGGGATTAACATAATGTTATCTTATGACTTACAAATGTAATTTTTTAGCCATATAAATCTAAGCAATTTCCATGCCAATAGCTATATTAATAATTTAATATTGACTCAAGCTTAGTTATTTATTCACTTGTGAATGGATAAGTATATAAGTATGAAACTGCAAGTTATTAATAATTTAAATACTGTAAAATGTAAAAATACATAATCATAACAAATAAGAGTAGAAGTTATGAATTTGGACTAGCAATCCATTATGATGTACTAGAAGAAACTAAAGAAAGGGAATTCATTTGACAATCCCAAAGTGATTTATCAAATACTATGTCGTACTAAAAAACAAAAAGCATTTGAAATATCAAGGATAAGAAGTTGAAAGAGTCTTCTTCTTTTAATAAATGTTGAAGACCAAGTCATTGGAAATTTGGTTTCTTATCTAATTATTATTCCACATATGCCTCTTGTCAGGAACATTCTTATTTCCTATTTTCTTGTTGTTTGGAGAAAAAAATGTGTGAATGTGATGGATATAATACTTTTCTTAATTAGACATTTTTCAAAAAATTTGGATATCAGCCCTCGTCCCTCCAAAATTCAACTTTTACACACGTCCTGTAAATCTTAAATCTTTAGAATTTTAATTGAATAATGATGACCTATGAGCATAAATAGTGTATGTGTATAAGTTTTGAAAAAGAATACTTCAGATTCATTCAAATATTACGTGGCCACCTTATCTGCCGACAAATAATTTAAAAACTAATCTTCAACAATTTTTTTTTATATTATTTATTTATTTTGATTTTGTAGTTCTTGGGCTTGAAGATTTTAGTCATCTCCTTGTTCAATGTTCCAGAAAACCCAATTGTGAACGTTGACCTTTTGGACTTTTAACATTTTCTACAAGTTGTCCCCACGACATGTCATGTTTTATTCACAAAGTCATCGAGCTGTCGTTCTAAAACGGGGGTTTTAAAGATTGCTAATCGGGTTTCGACGACAGCACATAATCTGCTGTTGACCTCCACAGAATTTGGGCCGTTAAATATTGATTCATGGTAAAATTCAGAGATACATATTAAGCACCAATAGGGTCTAATTATATTCCGGTAAAATTGTAATACACAGAGTTTGGGATAAATTCACATGGAATTCATTTTTTTCACAAATAAATTCCATCAAAGAAATTTTCGACTATGAATAATTTTCAAATTAAATTAATCAGATCATAAACAAGTAGAGTCAAACTTTAATGAACTTGAGTTTCATTCGATAAGGATGTATAAGAGTTCGGCCTTGCAATTAGGAGCGGAGAGACAGGGAGGATTGGGTGAAGGATATATACATATAAGCTGATTAATCCAGTGGTTTAATCTATAAAAAACATTGATTCATGCGAATTGTTGGAGAATCACTCTAAATTGACATTCATGCATAGCACTCCAAATTGAAAAGTTTGTATTAATACCATCCTAAATGCAAATTCTGCTAGGGTTTTAAATAAAAAAAAAAAATATTAAAGTGAGTCTAATCATTATTGGGTTAACTTAACCCAAGGTATCAAAACGCACCGTTTTGACACCATACTCACCGTTTCGTCTCATCTTCCTTCTTCTCCTCCTTCCTTCTTCGCAGTAGCCCAAATCCCACATCGCATCTCCCCTTCGAATTCCTAAGCTCATTTTTATTCCTCAATCATTCTTCGGCCATCGCAGCTTTCTTCTCCTTGTCTTCTCATTCACGAGCGGCCATCTCCACACCAAGCTCGTTGAGGACGAATTCTGTTGCTCGCAAGGTTAGCAAGCCGCAATCGCAACGCAAGGTATTTTTGCAACTCATATCCTTATAACTATTTAGCTCTGGGGTTGGCAAGGATTATTTTGTATAGTTAGGTTTTAAGAGTTTGGGTTATGGGGTTTTGCGATTTTGAATCGACGACAAAGATTCTTTGCTGCTGCTGTTGAATTGGGTATCAACTAATTATGCAGAGCATTTTGTTCTGCTATTGTAATATGGGTTTTGATATTGTTCTGCTGCTGATGGTGTTGGTGTATCACGTTTGATTTGGTTTTTCATATTTTTGCCTTTTTATTGCATGAAGAAGCAAATTAGAATTTTAATGATTTGAGAACTATATTATCTGATATACACTGTTGGTTGTATTTGGGTTTTTATTTTTCTGTTTATTATTCAAATTTTATCAAATATGGTAAAATTGAGTAAAACATACATTCATTTCCATAGAAAAGTTCCAATCTTTTTATCATAAAAATTTATACTTGCTAGTAAAACTCACTTATACTAATCAAACTATTCACCATCTCTCGCTCACTAAGTTTAATTGAAATTGATTTGACAATTTCTTTTTGATTTGAATTACATTTTTCATTCGATTTGACTGGTTAACCATATGTTTTCCGTTCACTATTTCAACCCCATTCCACTGCACTACTCGTTCCAAAGAAAAGACATAAACGACCTGCAAC